AGGTATTCATTTTCACCTGTCAAATCTCTAGGCTAAAACCCTTTTTAAAGAAGAGGTTTTAGGCATCAGAATGCCACCACAAAGAAAACTGTTCAATTTAATGCTCTAATCGAGTCTTGTTGCCTGCTGGGCAATGGAATTTACCAGAATCCTAATCCTAATCCCTTTCCCTCACGAGATGAGATGGGAATGAATATTTCACAAGCAGATCAATAGTTTTGTGAATTTAAAGATAGTGCCTATCATGATAAAGGCTTCAACGGAACAAGTAATTGGTTTGATCCAGAGTTGGATTCTGAGAAAAGGATTTTGAAACCAACTCTATAACCACAGTGTCATGGAAAGAAGACCCTTTCCAGGGCTCTTTATTTGTAATTCCATTTGAACCTAAATAGGAAAGGGAAGCATGAACCTCATGGGCCAAGAGGGCTGTCAACTTCTTCATCATTCTTCACCCATTGGGATCACGTCTGAACCACAATTCAGGTAAATCTTTCCCCAAAAGGAATGTGAATAAGTATTCCCATAGGAATGTGAATACGTATTTGTGCTGAAAAAGTTTATTCAAATAGTTTGGAGAGCTCAGTATTAATGTCTAACACACCTGGTTGCCCCAGTACTACTTAGAGAACTTCATATATTCATGAACTTTGGAACTTCCAAGGGGGGGGGTCTCAAGACATCGGCTTCCCAATTTGATTTGACCAGGAACCATATTTTTCAAAACCTGTCTCTTGGGATAAGTGTTTTGTGTCCTGGGCCTTGAGAAGTGCTGATCTAGGGAAGCCAACATTGAATTAACGGAATTTAGAGATCTCTCGTCATCCACAAGACAGTGAAAATTTTGTGTGGGGATGAGGTGGGGGAATTTCTAGAGATCTATGTTATTAGTTAAAACCCTTTTGGGAAAGGTGAAGGTCACACAGACTATCGAGATTTAGAGGGAAATAGTCAACGAGAGCCCTTGGTATTCGTTATTTAAGACATTAAGTTTCCAAACATTTCGTATTTGTAGGGGTTCCGAATCTTCTCTGAGACCATGAGTAAGATTCACCTTTTCTGTTTCACGGAGTGTTCATGTGTAAAATGAGGATAGCGATGGCCACCTTTCAGGGTAGGTGTAAGGACTAAAAGGGACACAGGATAAAGCACATAGATGTGGTTTTGTTCTCATCATGGTGAAGCGGCTTTTGGAAGGACTCGAGGGTCTTCAAGCAGGTTATTGTGGTTTAGATATGAGTTGTCCCCCAAAGCTCATGTGTGAGACCATTCAAGAACATTCAGAGATGGAATGATTGTGTTATGACAACCTTGACCCAATTAGTGAATTGATCCCCTGATGGGGATTAAATGAGTCGTACCTGAAGGCAGGTAAGGTGTAGCTGGAGGAGGTGGGCTTGGGCGCATGCCCTTGGGGTATATATTTTGTATCTGGTGAATACAGTCTCTTTGCTTCTTGGAGGCCATGTCCTGACCTGCTTTCCCCTGTCACACTCTTCCACCATGATTTTCTGCCTCTCCTGGAGCCCTGAGGAATGGAGCTGGTGTCTATGGACTGAGACCTCTGAAACTGTGAGCCCCCAAATAAACTTTTCCTCCTATAAAATTGTTCTTGTCAGGTCTGTTGGTCACAGCAGTAGAAAAGTTGGCTAAAACAGAGGTGATGGTGGGTTCATATCAAGATCACCATGTTCGGCCTCTACTTAGTCCCAGTGAATTGTAACTTAGTGGTGGCAGTAGGGCAGGATGCATGTGTGTTTTAAAAGCTTCCCCAGTGATGACTGGGGTGCACCCTAAGCTCCTGTAATATATGTGCAGCAAATCTTCAAGTGGGGATGCTACTCTTCCTATGGTGGTTCTGGGACACGTTGCTTAGAATAAAAGATTTCTGTTCTTAAATGTTGAGAAAGGCCACTCACTGGCACCTGGCCCTTTTCCTCCTTGGGGATTATTCAAGTATCAGAGAAGGTTAGTGGCACACAATATTTAAATTGTCTTCTCACCTTATTTGACCTTGCAACATTTTTCTTGCAACTCTCATCTGCCTCTTTGACCAACACGTTTGAGAGATCCTACATGATAGTGTTAGTCCAAAAGTGAGTTCTATCCGTATTCTATCCATGTGTCTTTTGCACTAAAGATATAGGGGAGAAACAAGGTAGCAAAGAGCAGCTAACACTATTGCCCAGACAGTGGGTTGAGATTTAATTCTTTAGTTCTATTACTTTAATTCTTTTTGCCACCTACTATTTTTGTGTGAAAAGATCATTGAAAATAATATGTGCTTTCAAGTTAGCATCTCTGGGTAAACTCAGGTAACACTCAAATAGTCATGGAAATGAACTAGTGCAGATTTTAAGAGCTGAGGCTCAGGACAAACCTGGCTTTGAGTCCTAGTTCCCACTTTCCCTGGCTCAGTGATGGTGGGTGAGTTATGTGACCTTTCTGTGCTACAGTCTCCTTATTGCTCAGAAGGGACAGTGGTAGTTCCTGTCTCTTGTGTTGTCATGAGGATAAAAGAGATAACCATGCAAAGCCCTCAGTATGGGCCCAAGTTCATTATTGTATTAAAAAATGCTCTTGAACAAAAGGAGAAGGAGAATTAATCCAATAGTAGAGAACTCTGGAAAACTTCAAGCTACTAGAAATCTTCTTTCCACAAGTGAATTGACTTTATTTTTCAAGCCAAGTGCTCTGTGAGAATTCAGGGCGAGACATTGAGAGACTTACTGAGTTGGTTGGTCTACCAAGTGTGTGAATGATCCTTTCCTCCAACTTCATTCTATTCCTCAACCATCTAATTAACATGCATGGAACGGTTTGGGAGCTACTGCCAAAGTTGAAGTCACTGGTTGAAAGGCAACAACATTGGCAATGACTGCCAGAGAGTGTTCAGAACGGTTCAGAACTGGATGAGAATGTCGGGGTTATGGAGGCTGAGGGGCGAGATTTGTGAGCAAACAGAAATTTACTATAAGAAGCAGGAGGAAGGGAGGAGGAGGGAGGAGGACGAGGGGAGGGGGAGGGGGAGAGAGAGCCTCATTGTAGTAGTCAGGCTAAGATGTCAGTGTTATGCACATGTGTGTAATATATATTTCTTCCTGTAAATAAAAACGAGTAGAAAGGTTTGAAAACCTCTGGCCAAGAAAGCAGGCCACAGGGCCTTGAAGCCAGGGCAGGTTGTTGCTGCTCTGCGAGGCCAACTTGGTAAACTCAGAGCAGATCTCACCCTGCCTTTTCTTCAACACAGGGGTGATTCGGTGACTGCGGGAGGGACAAGCAAAGAGGGAGAGACTCAGGGGCCAATGCCTAGTTCCAGAACTGCCCAACAGGCAGACGCTATGGTGACAGTGGCAGTGTGATGACAGGGGTAGGGGGGTAGAGGGGTGAGACAAGCCCATTTCCAGTGCAACAGTAGTAGTTGGCCCCTACTGTGTATTCAGCAGGTGCCAAGCCCTCTATTTTGTTGTTTTACTCTTCCTGTCTCCGTTGACTCTCACAGCAAATCCCTGGAGTAGCTGTGAGCATTCCATTGAAAAAGGGAGACAAAAATTATGTAATTTGCAGGAAAATGGAGCCTGCATTCTGTTATGTGAAAAAAAGCCAAACTTAGGTGGTCAGGGGTCATATATTTTCTCTCATCTGTGAAATTTGGAAAAAAGGAAAAGAAAAGTGCATGGTAATGATATCTCATGAAAGTCTAAGAGAGGTATAGGTCCAAGGGAGGGAAATATTGCAGAATGACATTGGCCAAACTGTATTGTGTGCATATATGAATAAGTGACAACAAGTCCTATCACTGGGAACAACCATTATACACCAGTAAAAGTGTGGAGAAACCTAAAACGTTGAGCATTAAACAATAGAGGAGGAGACCACAGACTTCTGAGAATTAGATCAATCACACACAATAAACCTTGAGGATTGTTCACCAGGGAGTGTGGCATGGGGCAGGGTGAGCTGAACTCTGGAGAAGAATCAGTCTAGACAGCTGCACCCCTGCTCAGGAGACTCTCTGAGGAACGGACCATTGGCCTTCTTTCTCCAGAATCCTGTGACTCATTCAATTTCTCCCAAGCCACAGGCTGGTGGAGTGAAGAGAAGCCAGAAAAATCTTATTTTTTTCTATGACAAGATAAAGGTGACCGATTGGAAGTCAACACCTACAAGGGGAATTTTATAATGAAAACTGGAACGCGACACCCAGCTTCAGTGAGTCAACACACGTTGCCTATAAAAGTCATCGATATTAGTACCAACAATTAACCAGTCTCTCCCTGTGCTCTGTCTTGGTGCTAAGTCATTTGTGTGCATATCATTTTGTCTTCTAGAATAACCCTGTGGGGAGGGTACGATTTTTGTCCTCATTTTCTAGATGAGGGAATTAAGGTGTGGGAGGGTCATAGGTTGCCTAGGGTGAGACAGGTTGTAAGTGGCAGGGTTTAATCTTTAAACTCAGCTCTATCGATCCCAAGAGTCTGAGCTGGTAACCGCAGTGCAAAATAGCTTCTCCATGACATCCAAGGAACCACTGATGTAAGCACAATGGCTCCCTGAACTCAGAGAGGCTTCGGGACTGTTGAGAAGGCATGCATGAGTGGAAAATAGTTATTTATTCGTTGCTGCTTAGAAGTGGCCAACGGAGTATTAAAGATTCAAGGAGGGAGTGGCTACTGCAGCTGGACCAAGCAGAATGAGTGTTTGAGTGGCTGACCCTATAGCAACTGAACAGCCTTTAGTTTCCTGGATTTTCAGAGTGAGTCTGTATTAGAGAACTTGAACACTTTCAGAAAGCCATTTAGCAAAGCCTCAGCTTCCTCATCTGCAATATGGGTACTCTTCCCGTCTCACAGGGGTGCTGGGAGGATGAAGTGTTTCTGAGGTGCTTGGGATAGGGGCATCTAGTCCTGTTTGCACTACCTTCCAGTTTAACTTTCCAGTAGAAATAGCTCGCTTCTTCCCTCTGACCTTACCACCGAAGAGCTTAGAAAAAGTCCTACCTGCTGGGAGAAGCCCCTCACGACACATCTTTGCTTGAGGTTTGTCTCTCCATCCAAGTTGGCCGTCTCCAGGTGGCAGATCCCGCTGGGGTCTGAGGAAAAGAGGAGGAGTGTGTCCGCAGGGATGATCTCATTGCACTGCATCTGGATGAAGTCGCCCACGCGCACATCCTTCCAGCACTTCTGCACGTAGCGCTGCTGTTTTCTTGGGGGACGAAAAAGACAGGGGTCTCAATAAGCTTTTAGATTCCTCAAAAAATTAATAAATGAATGGAAAAAGGTCCTACCAGCACTTAGCAACCTCCCTGGTCAGCCTGTCACGAGACTGCTCTGGATTCTACCTTCCCCCAGAAGACCACCCTTATGATCTCTCTCGAAGACCTAGACTTGGTTTGTAGAATCCCACCAGGCAAAGATTTCTCCTGGTGATGATTTTAGCATTTTGATTGACTGCCAACTATTGACCAGGTAACTGTGCACTCAGCCCTTGCTTCTTAGCAGGAGAAAAATTCCAGAAGAAAATGAACTCTACTTCTATTTTAGTGAAAATCTTCATTTATATAACCAGAAATCATTGAAGAAAAGAGATTTTGCAAAGGTTTGCAAAGAAGATTGCTTTGATCATGGGCGGGGGTGGGGTGGGGGGGAGAATGGCATTAGGAGAGGTGGGGTGGGGGCAGGGTTGGGGATCAGCGGATGAACACTTGCCTAGCATGTGTGAGGCACTGGGTTCGATCCTCAGCACCACATAAAAATAAAAAGTAAGATAATAGAGTTAAAAAAAAAAGAGGGATGGGGATATTGGTCATTATTTAGGAATATTTGAAACAGTGATAAAATAGAAAACCTGAGGTAGTCAGGGCATTAGGAAGAAGGCAACAGGAATTTCGACGGGTTGGGGGAAGCTGAGGGGAAGACATGCTTTATCTTCCCTTTCAGTTTGTCAAGCTGAGATCTCAGCAGTAGCACTAACAACTGAAAATTTAGCATTTCTAATTTGCTGAGCATGGGGGCTAATGTTTTGTTCAGTTGCATAATGATCCATCGTTTAGATTTTATCATACCCATTTCCCAGATGAGGAAATTGAGGGTCAAAACAAAAATTTTCAGAGTCTCACAAAAAATGAGAGCTGAGCCCTGACTGAACTTGAACCCAACGTGACAGTGATGCCATCAGGTGGCATCCAGTGTTCAGCCTTTTCCAGGTGCCCCACAGGATCTCCTCATTTTTGAAGGCAACACACTCCATTTCCATAGAGCTCTTGGTCCAGAAAGTCTTCCTGAACATTTAAAGAGTTCTGTCCTCTTGGGTAGTCTGATCCATCCCATCTTCTGCTTTTAAAAAAATGTTTCTAGGTCCTCATGAGAGGGTCCTATGAAACCTTAGCACAGGCCAGGCCAAATTCAACCTTCCAGGAGTCCTGAATTATTTCTTGCATGAGTTTGAAGATCTGCCCTGGAGGTGTGGGATCTTCTAAGTCTGCATTTGGAGCGTTCTTCTTCTGGGATTTGGAACCAAACCAGTATTCCATATGGGGTCTTTCTACCTGAGCCCCGGAAGCTTGAAGCTGAGGGTCTCCAAGGGCAGTGGTCCGGAGAGGCCCAACTCCTCTGCTGTTTCTACACAGATGCTGCCCTCTCTGGGCTTGTTACTGTTTCTTTTGGAATCTGAGCTGCCTTGGGCAGGACAAGATCACTCTTTCACAGAGAAAGGGATGTGAACAAAAGTACCTGCGAGGTTGAGGGGTTTGGTGTCTTATTTTCTTGGGGCTCCCCTGCTAAGAGTCCATCTTACTGGTCCTAAAAGGTCCTGCCAGGAGTCTCCCTCAAGCCCTTGAAATGAAGGTGCTTCCATTTGGAAGGATGAAGAAAACCTGATCAGTCTATATTAAACAGGGACATTGGAACTGGGGAACTAGCTTATCACTCAGGGTTCTTTGGCAGTGGCCCATGGCCCTGGGGACTCAATGCAGCAGACTCAGTTGAATCAAAGCATGGGCTATGTCACTCCACTGACCACTGAGACCACTTTTGCATATTTGGTGGCTGAGGAGAGTAAAGCGTCTGCAGCATTTTAGTGAGAATTCTTTCTTTCATGCAAAAAGCATATAACAGGTTTCCAAGCACCTTTCAATTGATCATCTCAATCTATTAAATACCACTCTGCTGAATATCACTTTTTAAGAAATGAAGAAGAGGGGTGGTTGCCATGGTTTTCTGACCTTGTCACTTCAGAAATATGTTTGAAAATATGCTTGTCTATATATTTAGGTCAGATACTTCACCACCACGAGTTGCCATTGTGACTGTCAAACACTTTATGGTCCCTCTGCTGGCTCTGGGGACAGTAGTTTTTTCTTCAAAGCAGCTCTGGGATCACCTGATCAATATTCAAGTATAAAGCTCTTTAAAGGCACTGGAAAGGCTCCTAATGTTAGTGAGAAAAGGAATCTCAAGAGTCAAGAGGGGACTGGTTTTCTATTGTAATTTTTCTTTCTTTTGGAGAAAAAGCTTAATAGAAGAATTTATAAATATTGTAGCAAAAATTGCCCCCAAGGAACCGAGGGTTATCTATAACACATCAGCACCCCCCTTTCCCAGCCCCTTCTAGCTGCCATGTTCCACTGGAGAATGCCTGAGAGAATCTCAGCATTCCATCTGGTATTGGAGCTTGGATTTAGGGAAAACACCGACGATTCTGAGCAGCATCCCCGTAGCCGGTGCTTCCAGAGGACGCTGCTTCTGAAGGTTTTTGGCAAACGGTGAGCTGGTGGCTGAAGCACCACCCTCTGTGAATGTTGAATCTCACTCATTCCTTCCACTGCTTATTGGGACATGGGTTAGTAAGATGACGGAAGATGGAGGACTTTGGAGATGAATTTAGGGCACGTCCAAGTTCAAGAACAGTCAGTTATGGGAACCGGACTGAAACGTCTTGTCAATCCCCATCATGATGTAGGCCACACAAGATCAAGGAGTCACCCACAAGCCATAAGTCAGATCTGAGCCCGTCTTCTGTATATCATTCCTTGGGTCCCAAGGAAGTCCCCACTGAACTGGCAGCAGAGGCCCTGTTGTTCCTTTAGATGAGATCTTCCCTTCCTTAGGATGGCACCTGGCAGTGAAGGGACCTTCCTGGGGGCAGGCCCTCCCAAAGACAGAGAATGCCCTTCTCAAATAGGCAAATGTGCATACCTCTACCAGAACACCCTGTCAGGATGAGTGACACTAGGGCACCCATGTGATTTCAGGGTGTTCGTTTAAAAAACTGTGCTTTGGGAGGATTGAGCCGATACACAATTTGAACCATGACATCTATCATGAGCTAACTAGAGTTATGCTATACAATCAGGCAAATGTGATAGGACTTTGGGGTATTTTTTAAGAAGGAGAGACTTGAGGGACATGTCCTCTTTGCATTTGGTCACTCTGTACTTGTCACCCAATTCTCCAGAGTCTGTTTTGTCCCCCGAGCTATCAGGACTATGGAGAAGCCAGGGATGCACAGCCCGAAGGGGTCAAGCCAGCAGAGGTGACACAAGTGGCAGAATCTAGCTGAGGCGTAAAAGCAGCATGCGTCTGCACTGAGTGACGCCCAGATGCGACCAGCAGCTGGCTGGGAGCCGCCTGTGGGAGCCATTCCCTCATTAATCCAGCCCATTTGGAACAGCTGCCCCAGGTGGACGCACTGATACACTCTTGATGGTCCTCCTGCTCAGTGAATCTTCACCTGGGAACGGAGCGCTATTTTGGTCTCACGCGATGCTCAGGGCTGCTTAAAAATAAGACAAATCAACGTGGCTTGGGACAAAGGCTCCATCTGGCAGATTCCGCCTGGAGGAGAAATTAAGTGGTGCAGTGTTAAGCAGCTTTCCGAAAGGAGATGGGGTTTATTAAAAGGTAAATAGACAGCAAGAGAGGTTTGTAACCAACTGTAGGCCAGAGGGGAACAGGTGAGAGGGGGAGGAGAGAGGAGGAGAGGATGCCCAAGGCTCCATTTCTCCTGTAATGGGTTTTATAAAAGAATGTCAGAACACTGACAGAGAGTGTCAGGAGGATCAGCTGTCTGGAAGGATCTCCTATTCAAAGTCCCGTGATGAGCTGACCTGGGCTGTCTTTCAGGAGCTCCAACACCAGGCCCAGAAGGCTCCCTGTGGCCACCCCAGGGTGAGGGGAGAACCCCAGGGAGAAGGAGCACCGTAGAGGAATCAAGAGCATCTTTGAATCCCTGCTTCACACTGCTCTGACCTGTGTGACTTTGGGCAAGTTACTTAACCTCTCAGAGCCTCTGACCCTTCCAGTAAAAGATAACATGTGCTCTTGCCACAGAGAGGTGATGAAAAAGAATTGGCAGCATGACCACTGTGGGGCACTGGGCTCAGACTTGGCCTTTAGCAAGTTCTCCTTAAATATCAGCCTTTTCACGACAGGATGAGCATGCCTGTTAATGTTGTTGTTTTATGGCCCCCAGTGTTTTCCTCTTCATGCCGTTTTCTGCTGACAATCACATTTCATGGCTTGGGCTGAAACACAATCACCACAAACACACACACAAAAACTAAAAATCCACTAAGAACAGAAATGGGAGGAAGAGCATGAGGAAAAGATTAACACTAAACAGAGACGAGTGAGGGGAGAGAAAGGGAGAGAGAAGGGAAAGCATATGGAAATGGTAGGAGACCCTCAATGTTACACAAAATTACATATAAGAGGTTGTGAGGGGAAACGGGGGGGAAACAAGGGAGAGAATTGAACAACAGCAGATGAAGTAGAGAGGGAAGATGGGAGGGGAGGGGAGGGGGGATAGTAGGGGATAGGAAAGGCAGCAGAATACAACAGTCACTAATAGGGCATCATGTAAAAATTGTGAATGTGTAACCGATGTGATTCTGCAATTTGTATGTGGGGTAAAAATGGGAGTTCATAACTCACTTGAGTCAAATGTATGAAAGATGATATGTCATGAGCTTTGTAATGTTTTGAACAACCAATAAAAAACAAACAAACAAACACACAAAACCCCTAAAAATCCAAACCTTTTCCCCAGCCTTGCAAAGAGGGACTGAATTTTAGCAGATCAAATATTTCTGACCCTGGAGCATGGCTACCAGGCCAAATTCCCAGAAATGCATGTCCTTACAGTCAGGGCCAGAGGGGACTTTATAGATCTCCAATACTGACCCGCATTCTTTAGATGAGGAAACT